GTCTGCGTTGTAACTCTAAGACAGTGCAGAGCGTTTGTGGCAGGCCCCGTTGGCTGCTGCCCAGCAGTCATTCTCGCTTCTACTATTTTTTTTTTGGCAGCTGGCCCATTCGCTTCTACTATTTTTTTTTTTTTTGGCAGCTGGCCCATCCAGGAATCAAAACCTGGACCTTGGTGTGTTATCAGCACCACATTCTAACCAACGGAGCTGACTGGCCAGCCCTCTTCTACTTGATTTTGAATGGGGATAGAAATGTGTCCTGTCCCCCGTGATTTTCTAAGCTAGTCATGGCAATCCCAGTCTTCTTTATTAGATAGTTGGATAATCTCTTTTCCAGCTTTTCCGCTCTGGTCAACAAAATTTAAGGGAAACTTCTGCTGTGTTCTTATGAGAATTGTTTTATTTCATAATAAAAGACACAAAGCAAAAGAGTCCTTCCCTCCCATCCTGTTTCGGTGAGGATTTGGTACTGCAGGAGCCATTTGGTATTCAAGAAGGAGAGGCTGAGAGAATCTAAGAGACCAGCAACCATCACAGAGCTGCTCAATGATGCCTGGGACCTAACTATTTCACAGTTGTTCCCTAAACACTCAATGTCTTTACGGTGCCCCTTCCCCTGTCAGGGAGGAAGGTGCCCTGCTTCAAGTCTTTCCAGTTAAATTGAAATTTAATGGAAGAGATTGCTTTGTGAACGGCCAGAAGTCAGTGCAACTTAACTATGGCAATGCATCTCAGGACACTTCCTGGGACACTGCCTCATCAGAAGAGGTTGCTTTCAGAACCAAGGCATTGGGATAATGGCCATAAACATGACTTCTGTCTTTTCCAGTTCATACAGTGAAGACACCATTCATCCATTTGCTCCTTCAGAAAGTCAGCCAGTGAACAAACATTTATTAAGGGCCTCACAAGTCCTAGGTACACTATGTCTGAGCTACTAGAGACACAAGCTAAAGTGCCTTCCCTCCAGGAGACAGACATGAAACAAACAGTCCACCAGAAAGTAATGACAGTTGAGAACAATGCTCCAAAGGTGCCTGAGAGCAAGTAATTGTAAGATTGGGTGGGGACAATGGCAGTGATCACAGAAAGTTCCTCTAAGGGAGGAACGTGTAAACAGAGTCACCATCTATTCTAGTCTACTTTAGGACTCCTCGGTTGAGAAATGAGGGGAGTAGTAGAGATGGACAGGAGACCCCAAGAAATGTAGGCAGTAGAAATGATGGGACTTGGCAATTAATCAGCGTGGTAGTGAAAGAGTGGTCAGAGTTAAGGACAACTCACGGATCACTGGCTTGGGCACCTGGCTGGGTGGACGCGCTAGTTCATTAGTGCGGACAATTGCAAAAGTGGACCCCGTTCTTTATTGCTCTGTGCATCCTCATCCTTTCAAATATGACTACTTCCACAAAGGGGTAGAGTGCATTTCCCCACCCCTTGAATTTGGGGTGGCCTTATGACTTGCTTTGTCCAACAGAATGCAGCAGAAGTGATGGGTTCTACCTGGGAGCCTCGGTCTCAAAAGGCCTTGTCCACCCTCGCTCACTTTCTCGGATCTCTGCTCAGCCACCATGAGAACAAGCCCTGGCCAACTTGCTGGATGATGACAGACACGTGACACAATCACTGTCCCTCCCCCATCACAGCCAGGACAGCAGCTAGCTGTCAGACATGAGTGAGGCCAACCTGGAGCAGCCAGAACCTGGAAGCTCTCTGCAGTTGCACCAAAGAGCTCAGCCAAGATCAGCAAAGGCTGGCCTACATTGGGATATCTGCCCCACTGACCTATAGACTTATAAGCAACTATAAGTGACTTGTTCTAAGCCATTGTTTTGTGTGGTTTGTCGTGCAGCCAATCT